TTTCAAATTTGTTGGAATACAGTTCTTCATAGTATCCTGATATTATCCTTTTTATTTCAGCTGGTTCTGTTGTGATGTCACCCATTTCATTTGAACTTGAGAAATCTCTTGAAGCAGTTAATACAACATTATTCTATCACATAATATCAAAGTTTTTTAAAAAGAACACAAACTATAAAATATAAAATGAGGAAACAAAACAAATATGTAAAGTGACATGTAATACAGCAATACCTGATATGAAAGGAAGTACCCTACATAGAGGAATTGTTTTAATTAAACAATGCTTAGCGTTTTGTGCACTTCACTATTATTTTGTTGATAGCGTTTCAAAAACCTACTGCGTTCTTCACTAATCTCTTAGACAGGACTGACCTTTCAAATGTGATCCTCAATGTCTCTTCTATTGGTGTCCATGTCCCTGTTGACGATTCCTAGTTAGGTAGCCAGTTAGAATTGGTTGTTCTAGGTTCCTGGTGCTGGGAAACTACGACGGTATAAGCAAGCTTGCTAGAGATGTTGGTGAAGAAACCTGAGAGGTTTTACTGTAAGCAGATTCTTCTTGTCTAGTCCGCCAGTCATTCAATCATCATTGGCTTTTCACTTTTGGGGTCCTTATCCTTTTTCTTTGGCTCTGGATTTGGTTCTAAATTGCTGAAGTTGCCTTGTAATTAAGGCGTTAATTTCATTTTAAATATTGTAAAATGTTAAAGACATATCCTCTCTTTCCACCCCTACCCAAGGCTCTGATGACAGTAGGAAAAGAACCGTTTCCTACCATTTATGTAGATTCGCAGAAAGAGAATGAGGTAAGGTGAACTGGCATTTTACAGAATCACATTTGGGGAATTAGTTTTCATTAGAACACAGAAGTCTTACAAAGGTTGACTGTCTGTCTGTCTCTAGAGGTGGGATGTCATTTCCAAATCACAGATGAAAAACATTAGAAAAATGTGGCACAGGGAACAAATGAAGAATGAATCCCGGGAAAAGAAGGAGGTGAGTGGGAACTGGCTACTGTGGAAATTTTTTAAGTCAGAATATTGTATACTGTTTTAACAAGTTGCTTTATCACTAAAATCAGGCAGAAGACAATTTGCGAAGAGAAAAAAACCTGGAAGAAGCCAAGAAGATTACCATTAAAAATGATCCCAGTCTCCCAGAGCCGCAGTGTGTAAGTGAACCCTTTGAATTGGAATGCTAGAAGTGACATCATCTGATCGGGGTCACCCAGGCTGTGAGAAATGTCCACATCACAGCATTATTTCTGTTTTTCTGGAGTGTTCCATGTGGTCCATTTCTTTACCATACGTGTTTTTACTTTCCTGTTGAGGAGATAGGAAAAAATGAATGTTCAGAGTTACGCGGCTGGCGCTTGAGTTCATTTTATTATAAAGTTTAGCAGTTGTTCATGATGAACAAATTTGATCCCAACCCAGAGCCAGCAGCCCTGGGGTCCTGGCTGCACTCTGGTGTTGAGGTGCTTTCACCCTCTTTACATCTCAGTTTCCTCATCCTGAAATATGGTGTCTAAAATCCAGGATTTTCATCATTTATGAAAAAGGTTTTTAAATTGTGAAAAGAGTTCATTCTTCTGTATTCTTTCTGGAACCCAGCGAGAAGGCTGGGCCACGAATGAACATGGTTTGCTTAAAATAGCTCTGATTCTGATGGATTGTATTTTTTTCCCACTTCCTTAGTGATGAAGTGGTTTTCTTGGTTACAGTCACCATCCCCTTCCTCTACTTATCTCTCCTCCATCCCTTAGACAAAAATCTAACCTTTGTTAGCTTCCAGGGGACCTGGACTGTGGGGTTAAGGAAGAGATTCGGTGCAGGCCATGATGGGTGGTATTACGGGGTGCAGGTGCTTCCCTATTATTATTATTAAATAATAATAAACCCCATTATTTATCAACAGTTGTTTTCCTGCAGCAAATCCAGAGTGAAGCAGCTATGCTTTGGAAACCAGAGATTTTATGATATGTGTCTGAATGTATCTCATTGCCAGTTTTCCCTGAGAGAAAGGAGACTGTTTTGTTTTGTTTTTCAAAGCTTCTCTAGTATATATGGTGAAATTCTTTGGTTCTGAGCTACAGTAGAGTGACTCTCCTATTTTGCACCATTAGTGAATTTTAAGACTTCACTACGACTGTCCAATAATTAGTGCAGAAGTTGATATGTGATGTGTTGAATAACATAATTGGTCGAATATTATCTGTTTTAACTTGACAGGCGAAGATTCATGCATTAGAAGCACATAGAGGCCAAAGAGTGAAGGTGTTTGGCTGGGTCCACAGGCTGCGTAGACAAGGTAGACGGCACAGCTTTTCTCTCAAAATTGGAATCGATTTGATGGCAGTGGGTTTTGGTCTTATATGAAAAACATAAAAACATTTACTTTGGAGTATTTTTTGTATGCTGGCTTTTTAAAGGCTGTCCTAATTTATATCCTAAATTTATTCTGTTTATTTGATATGGCTATTGAAAGTTTTAAAATTATTTAAATGCAAGCAACCACAGTGATCAAGAAGTACCCAGTGAATATTTGTCAGGTCGACTTTATTTACTGAGAAACAGGATGTATTACAAGAATTTCAGAGCCAAATCCACAACTTAAGTCATGGCAGCTGTATTGACCCCACCCCCCATTTTTGTTTTTGGTTTTTTTTTCCAAATTGAGATTTGGGTTAAGGTTTACAGTGCAAATTGGTTTCCCGTTCCACAATTCATACACGTTTTGTGACATTGATTGCAACCCCCTCAGTGTAACAGCACCAGTCCCACTTCCTTCCTGTGTTGACCATTTCCCTTCATCCTTCTTTCCTATCCCTTCCTGCCTGATGAGCCTTATTGCTGAATAAACGCTGAGCTGACCTTTCGTGTGGTTGATTGTTCTAGGAGTGTGGCCCTCCCTTTCTTATTGTTCACCTTTGGGCCTGTCTGTAATTTGCCTAAAAGTTGCACCACAGGGGAGCAGTGTTGACTTTTATAATTATGGTACTTATGTTGCACTTCTCCCTTCTCAGGCTTGATGTTTTGTTTTTTCTTTCTGTTTTTATTATCTTATTGTACGCGTTTGTATTGTAAGTGTCATCAAATCCTATGTAAAAAGAAATGAGACATAAATAAGAAAAGGAGTGATGGTGTTTCCCCTGTTACACATGCATCTCCCACCAGATGCACAGGTGCTTGGCATGGTAGGGCATTCACAGGTGAAGAAGATAGCATCCTACAATTCAGGTTACTTACTATCCTGCTTTCCGCTTAATTCCTAGAGATCACATAGGATTTGAAAATACAGTAAAAAAGATAAAAATGCTTTAAAATACTCATTGTAAGATTACTGGGGCCACTACATTCCTCAAAATAATAAAGAGCATATATGCAAAACCAAGAGCCAACATTATTCTCAATGGAGAGAGACTGAAACCATTCCCCTTGTGAACAGGAAGCAGACAAGGATGCTCTCTATCACCACTTCTATTCAACATTGTTGCAAGTCCTAGCCAGGGCAGTAAAGCAAGAAAGGGAAATCAAAGGCATCCAAATCAGTAAGGAAGAAGTCAAACTATCCTTATTTGCTGATGATCTGATCCTATACCTAGAAAACCCAAGAGATTCAGACAAAAATCTACTGGAAATAATTGAGAGATTTAGCACTGTGGCAGGGTGCAAGATCAACATCCAAAAATCAGTTGGTTTCCTCTACACCAGCAAAGAGGTTGCTGGAAAAGAAAGAAATCAGTACCATTTACAATAGCTACCAAAATAAAATACTTGGGAATAAATCACCGGGGACACAAAAGGCCTGTACAAAAAAAACTATAAAAGACTACTTCAAGAAACCATAAGAGATCTACATAAATGGGAGAAAATACCATGCTCATGAATAGGAAGATTGTAAATTGTGAAAATGTCACCTCTACCCAAAGCTAAATCTATACATTCAATGCAATCCCAATCCAGATCCCATCAACATTCTTTAAGCATATGGAAAAACCAATCACTAACTTTATATGGAAAGGAAACAGACCTCGGATAAGCAAAACACTATTGAAGAAGAAGAATAAAGTAGGAAGTCTCACATTGCTGGATCTCAAAACCTACTATACAGCCATAGTAGTCAAAACTGCCTGGTATTGGTATAATGACAGACACATAGACCAGTGGAATAGGATTGAGAGCCCAGAAATAGATCCATCGACCTATGGATCTATTTAACCTATGGCCCTTTTGACAAAGGGCTGATTCCATTAAATGGAGAAGAGAATGTTTGTTTAATAAACGGTGCTGGAAAAACTGGAGATCCATTTGCAGAAAAATGAAACAAGGTCTGTACCTCATACCATACACAAAAACTAATTCCAGATGGATCAAAGACTTAAATGTGAAACCTAAAACTATAAAGTTCCTCAAGGAAAAACTAGGGGCAAATTTAGGGGCCCTAATATATGGCATAAATAGACTATCATGCATAACCCAAAATGCACAAACAGCAAAAGAGAAACTAGATGAATGGAACCTTCTAAAAATTAAATTTCTATGTGCTTCCAAAGACTTCTCCAAATGAGTTAAAAGAGAACCTGCAGATTGGGAAAAAATATTTGGCAATGACTTTTCTGACAAGGGACTTATCTCTAGAATTTATGGACAACTCCAACACCTCAACAACTAAAAGACAAATAATCCAATTAAAAAATGGGCAGAAGGCATGAATAGACACTTCACCAAAGAGAATATTTATGCGGCCAACAAACATGAAGAAATGCTCTCTATCATTAGCCATTAGAGAGATGCAAATCAAAACAATAAGATGCCATCTTGCCCCAGCGCTGGTAACAAAGTTCAACAAGACAGAAAATAACAAATTCTGGCGAGGATGTGGAGAGATTGGGACTCACATACACTGCTGGTGGGACTGTCAAATGGTACACCACTGTGGAAAGCAGTATAGCGATTCCTTCAAAAATTGGAATTAGAAATACCATTTAACCCCACCATTCCATTACTAGGTAGATATCCTAAAGAAGTGAGAGTCATGATAAGAACAGACATATGCACACCCATGTTCATCACAGCACTATTTATAATAGTCAAAAGATGGAAACAACCTAGATGTCCATCAACTGAAGAGTGGAGAACCTAACTGTGGTACATACACACAATGGAATACTATGCGACCCTAAAGAATAGTGTAGAATCTGCAAAACACCGATAACGTGGATGAACTTGGAAGACATTATGCTGAGTGAAATAAGTGCACAGGACGACACATATTGTTTTAGTCTGTTATTGTAAAAGTCAAGGAAAGGTTTATATATGGAAGGAAATTTTCATGTTGGTTACCAGCGGTGGGAGGGTAGGGTAGGGAACACTGTTAAGAGAGTAGAGACAAGTATTGGTTTGGGTGAACAGAATGGCAGTATACCAACTGTGAGTGATCAACACTGTGGCATTGAGGAAGAAGAAGACATAGAGAGGTACATGGGAAGTACAGACAACAAAGATGAACCCTTTTGCACATACAGTACTGCGTTGTCAGTGAAAGCAAACCTGGATATACAGGTGGATAGATGAGTGGACAGGCTAAACGCTTAGGTATGTCTGTGCAGAGGGAAGTGTGCCCAAGACCATGTATAGAGTTGGCAGACAGTGTTTCTAGAAGTGTATTGGTATATTCTGTAAGAATTCCCAGATGTAGAAACTTTGGTAAGATGGAAGAATAGGCAGACAAGCAACACAGACCCTCTTCAACAAAGAAAAGAAAATAAAAAAAAACAATGGACAGATATACAGAAGATAATCCTAGAACTCTTGAGCTTTGAAAGGAACTACACAGAAGTGGATTAGGCACCAACTAGTGGAAAAACTTGAATAAAAACAGTGAGTACGGAGACAGAGCTGTGGACTTCAGCTACTCTGACAGGACCAACAGCCTGAATATTTCCAAGTAGTGCTGGGACCTGAGAATTGACCAAAAGATCAGCACTGGTCACCAAGGGCTGCAGGGACGACTGTGCTGGTGGCCTATGACTAGGAAGGGAAATATCCTTGCAAGGAGGGAGACAGCCTCAGCTATTGACTTTCTGCTGTCCAGAGGGCACAGCCATTTTGATTGTTTATATACAGCGGCCAATTTGAATATTTATAGTGACCGAGGGCACAGCCATTTTGAATGTTTATAACTGGTGGCCATTCTGGATATTTAAAGTGACTGAGGGCACAGCCATTTTGAATGTTTATAAATGGTGGCCATTTTGGATATTTAAAGTGACTGAGGGTGCAGCCATTTTGAATGTTTACAAGTGGTGGCCATTTTGGATATTTAAAGTGACCCAGGGCACAGCCATTTTGAATGTTTACAAGCAGCGGCTATTTTGGATATTTAAAGTGACTCAGAGAGCAGCCATTTTTAAAGTTTACAAGCGGCGGCCATCTTGGATATTTAAAGTGACCGAGGGTTGCAGCCATTTTGAATGTTTACAGTTGGTGGCCATTTTGGATTTTAAAGTGATAGGATTCTCGTTCGGATTCCAGGGACCTAAGAATAGGCTCTGTTTGCCAAGGTTGGCAGGGACATATGAGAGGCTGACAACAGGAAAGGAGACAGGTGGTGAGTGTTTAAGTGCTGTCAACTAGCAAATAGAGGAGCACAGTACCCTGCTTGCATAGAAAACACACAAAGAAAACAAAAATCATGGACAAGTCACTTCAGCATACAATCACCAATTAAACATAAAACCAAAAACGTCACAATGCCTCAGAGACAACAGAGCATCACAGTCACACAAAGAAGCAAGATAAAGCAGGAGAAACAAGGGGCCAGGATACAGACCCAAAACATATCCCTGAGGAAGACGCAGCATTGGAACTCCCTGATAAGGAATTCAAAAGAATTATATTTAGGTATCTTCAACGAATTGAGAGACGGATCAGGGAAAACACAGAGAAAACCCTACAACAACTTCAAAAGACAATACAAGAACAAAATGACAAAATAAATGAAAAATTAGAAATGATACAAAATCTACACACAGAAATCCAGAAGATTAATTCTAAGTTTCAGAAATAGATAAGACATTGAATGGGCAAATGAGCAGAACTGAATCAGTGGAAGACAGAATTAGGGAGATTGAAGGCAAATATCTCAATACTTCTTTAGAAAGCAGTCAATTAGAAAAAAGATCAAAACAAAATGAAGAAAGCCTAAAGTTCATGTGGGAGACCATCAAAAGGAATAACCTATGTGTAATTGGAATTCCAGAATAAGAAGAGACAAAACCACAGAAAAAATTGTCAAAGATTTGTTGTAAGAGAATTTTCCTAGTATTATGAAAGATGAGAATATGTCCATTCAGAAGGTCCAACAAACCCAAAACAGGATAGACCCCAAAGAAAATCACCCAGACTTAATCATCATCAAACTTAACAAAACCAAAGACAAAGAATCCTGAAAGCAGCATGGAAAAAATGAAAAGTTACCTACAAGAAGCAACCAATAAGACTAAGCTCAGATTTCTTGACAGAAACCATGCAGGTAAAAAAAATGGGATGGTATATATAAAACCTTGAAAGAGAAAAATCTCCAACCAAGAATTATGTACCCAGCAAAACTGTCCCTCAAATATAATGGTGAAATTAAGACATTTCCAGGTAAGCAGAAATTAAGGAAATTTGTTAAAACCAGACCAGCCTTACATGAGATGCTAAAAGGAGTCTTTGGACAGAGAAGCAACAACAGCCAACAATAATTGACAACAGATATGATGATATAACCCAGAAACCAACCCAGCTATGGAAGTATCCAAAGTAAATAAGCCTACAAGATTGTAAACAGGGAACCAGAGACGTAATTGACAAATGAGGACAACTACAAACCAAAAAGAGGGAAAAAACTGTGTCATTATAGAACTTCTAGATGGTAGGGAAGTCGAGACAACTACAAAATAGATCTAAACTTGGAAAGAAAACTATAAATCACAGGGTAACTTCAAAGAAAAATGATAAACCTTCACATCAAAAGAGAGGACCAGCATAAATATTCAGCAAATACTAAAACAATAGTAATGAAGGAAGTGATAACATGATTCATGAACAAAACGAGCTCAGCATAGAAAATCATATGGAATAAAGAAATCAATACCACGAAAAAGCACATAACAAAAATGACAGCAACAAATTCAAATTAGCCAATAATTACATACCTGGCAAGGGACTTATCTCTAAGAAATATAGCAGAAGAGTGGATGACCAAACTATGGTACATATATACATGATGGAATGCTATGCAGCACTAAAGAATAATGTAGAGTCTGCAAAACACTGCATAATATGGATGAACTTGCAGAACATTATGCTGAGCATAAGTCAATCACAGAAGGACAAATATAGTGTTAGTTCATTGTTGTGGAGGATCAGGGAAAGGTTTATATGTGGAGGGAAACTTTTGGTTGCCAAGGGTGTGAGGGAAGGGAGGGATCACTGCAAAAAAAAATAAAATAAAATGCATCAACCCATGTCAATTCAGTTTATTGTATTTCATAAATTGTGTTTCAATAAAATGCATTTAAAAAAAAAATTCCCAGGTGTATAGTAGAGCTGACAAGGGACAGGGTTGTAGTCACTTTTTGGCCATAGCCAGCTAGCCAGAGGGAATGAGTAGTTTGACCTGTGGGCTCGGGACCCACAGTGGACATCAAGCTCAATTGGCATAACATACTACACAAAACATTGTTCCACCTCCTACTTTGGTGAGTAGCAACTGGGATCTTAAAAGCTTGCAGGTAGCCATTTTGGTGCAACATTGGGTCTTTCCTCATGCACAGCAAAGAAGAATGAAGAAAACTAAGGATTCATGGAAACAATTAGTCCAAGCGACTTGTACACCGTGCGACCCACAGCCTATACAACTATGAGATCAGAAGAACTAGATGGTGTTTGGCTACCACTGTCAACCACTTGGAGATCTATGTAGGAGATCCTGGATAGACAGGGAGAACAATGTGCAACAAAACTCAAATCATTTGGAAAAAAAAAAGGGGGGGACCAGGTTTGCTGGTCTGATAGAGCCTCATGGAACCACTTAGACTATGGCCCTTAGTTGTCCTTCAGTTCTGCAATGGAATGCACATCTGTGGCTTCCAGCCAAACAAAAGATAAGCATATGAGGTGAACATTTGCACTAGGTAGATACACTCCTTGGAGAGAACAATCATGGGAGAATAAAAGTGCTGTGTATGCTCAGGGAGACAGCTCAGGGCAGGAGTGCATGGAGGGAAAGGCACGGGGAAGAGGTAACTATGGGGAAGAAGTGGGAGGGGAGCTGTTGCGTTGTGGTAAATTATAGTCAATGTCATGAGACAGTGTATGTGAGCTGCTGTATGGAAAGTGAATTTGCTTTGTAAACTTTCACCCAAATCACAATTGGAAGAAAAAAAAAAGAAAGAAAGATTACTGGGGCCACTTGGAAGGCAGGTGGCCATGCAGGAAGTTTGAATTTCCCAGTTTCAACTCTGGAGTTTCTATGGTGTAAGATTGTTTGTTCTTAACAGCAGCATAATGAAATAAATTATTTTCAAAAATCAGGAGACTACTATGTAAGTGATTTGAGAATGAGCTGGCTATATGTCTCTTGTTTATTTATAGGAAAGAATTTAATGTTTCTGGTGTTGCGTGACGGTACGGGTTATCTCCAGTGTGTCTTGTCGGATGAGCTGGTAATTTTTTTCTCTTATATATGACTGAAAGTGAGATCTTTCTCAGTAGGCTCCTTTATTGCTACTTTTCATAATTTTAGGGTGTGTGTGTATGTACACACACACACACACACACACACACATATATATATATAAAGAAGCTCTGGTAGCATAGTCCCTAAGCCACTTGACTGCTAACCAGAAGGCTGGCAGTTCAAACCCACCAGCCACTCCGGAAGGAAGGTTGGGCAATCTACTTCCGTAGTGATACTGCCTCAGAAACCCAAGGAGGGGTCGCTGTGAGTCGGGTCCAACTCGACAGCACGTAACAACAACATATATTTTAAATTTGTTTAGTACAAAAATATCCCAACACATAAAACAAACAGAATAGTCTGGAGAGTCCTCGTGTGCCTGTCACCCATCTTCAGTAGTTTCCAGTGTGTGGCTGGTCCCCAAATCATCGTATCATTTCATCAAAATGTACTGCGATGGCATTTCTAAAAACAAGTGTTTTTAATTTAACTACTGTATGGTTATCATGCCCCGCTCCCCCTTCCCCCAGTTAACAACTCCTAAGTATCAGCTACTATCCAGTTAGATTCTCCAGATGAACTTTAGAATGTCTTTTCATAATTGGTGTTCTGAAAGAGTCTCTCAGCAAGTCACACTGCATTTAGCAGATAAATCTCTGAAATCTCTCTTAATTTGTAACAGTTCTCCCTTTTATCCTCTTTCTTTTGAACCTTGCTGTTTATTTGTTAGAGAAACCTGGCCATTTGTCCTGGGAGCTCTCTCACATTCTCAAGTTTGCTAATTGCATCTTGTGATGTCACTTGACACATTCCTCTATTCACTGTATTTTTTACAAGCTGGAGGTTGGGTCTGATTAGATTTGAGTTCTGGTTTTTATTTTGTCTTATTTTGTTTTGGCAAAAGACTGCTTCCTACATGAGACTGTATTTCCAGTTGCATCCTATTGAGAGGTAGACTGTGTGGCTGTCTTTCTTTGTGATTAGTGGGTTCAGCTATTGACAGCTTGACCCCTTCTCATTGCTTTTCTCCTATTGGTTTTAGTGAGTATTGATGATCATAGTCTAGGTGGGCTCTATAGATTATTTAAGCAATCTTCATTTTACAAAAATTAGGAAAATGAACTGTCTAGATATTTTTGAGTGGCATTACCTAGTGTCATTTGGGCATATGCATATATGGAAAGTGTTATTTACAGATATATGTAATCCCATAAAAAAATCCCACAAATAGCATTCTTTATTAATTCTGAAAATGGATGGCTGTCTCACTGGTTCACAAGTAGTGGGCTCTGTAACTCGTATGTAAATACTTCCTTCGGCTTTCTATATGCTAAGCCTTTCAGTGTAAATGTGTATAACAAAATGTGGGCTTCCATCTTTGACAGTGTCAGTGTTACAATGGAGTGGTCTTGTCCACCGAGAGTAGTGTTGCAGTGTACGGAACGTTGAACCTCACACCAAAGGGCAAGCAGGTGAGTGGACCAAGTTCCCTCAGTGGGTGAATGGGTTGGCTGGTGTTCCAACTATGTCTGTCTTTGTACTTTTTCAGTATTTGGCAGATACATTTAAAAAATGTATCACGCTTACTCATTTTAGGGTCCCTTTTCCTCTTCCAGTGAAAAATGTATGTAGGACACTAGGCAACTCATAGGATGGAAAGAAGCCAGGGCTTTCCAGCTTTCCAGAATGTCTAAATAAACCTCAGTCATTTTCTTGTCTGTGTAGAAGTGAAAACTTCATAATCCTTTTCCCCAAAGAATTTCTGAAAAGAGCAGTAATCTAAATCAGAAACTTTCTAAATAGAGTTGGAAAGCCTCTTTTTAAAAAAGCTAAATGTAACTCATTTTCAGAGAGTTGGTGGTTCTCTAGCTATCAGGTGCATCACCTCGACTGGTTTGAGTTACTTTTTGGTAATCAGTTTGAATTAACTCCTCTGGCTGTACTTGTTGGTTAGGAAACGTATGTTTAACCACCAGAGGGAGCCCACAGGGGCCTGCAAATAGACTGGAAACATTGATCAAAGAAGGTCTCTCAGAGTTCATGTAAAACAGTCTGTGCTGAGAATGAATATTTGATTGAAGTTCACGGAATTTTCCTTGGAATCACAGTGATTACAGAATGGAGTGACTGCCGTGATGTTGTTCTTGCCCAGTGTTGGGCACCAAGTGAATGACCTCCGTAATTTATGGCTTTTGAAATGAATTGCTTGTAAGGAAATTATTAGGGAGAATTTGAGTTTCTACTGTGTGTGTGTTCCAAAGAGAAACAGCTTGTAGTAAAAACTGCATTTAAGGAGTCTTTCAATATGGGTAAATACATTATTTTAAATTATTAGACAAAGCTTGGAAGGATATAGTAAAACGTTAAAGTTAACAGCTAGCTACTTCAGGGCAACCGGTTGGTAAAAGATGACTTTATCTCCTAGTTTGTGCTTTTCTGTATTTTTAAAGTATGTGTATGTGTGTTTATGCTGAAAGAAGTAGTGTTAAACAAAAAACATAAAAAATTGAATTATTGTGTATTTGTCTTAAAAGGGTGGGCTAATATCAATGTTGTTCTTAGAAATGACTGCTTCTCAAAAATTGTGACACAATTGAAAATCTTCAGTACTGTTCTTTTTGTTCTGTCCTTCCCTCTCTTTTCCCCCTCCACCCCCTTTGCTGTATGTAGGCCCCAGGGGGCCATGAGCTGAGCTGTGACTTCTGGGAACTAATAGGGTTGGCCCCTGCTGGAGGAGCCGATAACCTCATCAACGAGGAGTCTGACGTCGACATCCAGCTTAACCACAGGCACATGATGATCCGAGGAGAAAACATGTCCAAGATCCTGAAAGCCCGCTCCATGATCACCAGGTGCTTCAGAGATCACTTCTTTGACAGGGGCTACTATGAGGTAAATGTGTTCGTCTTCTGCAAATGATACCTTTTTTTGAAAAAAATAATTTATTATTTTCTTACCATTAAAAATATATACCACAGAGCATACACCCCTTCAACAGTTTCTACATGTACAGTTCAGTGGCACTGGTTACATTCTTCAAGTCGTGCAACCATTCTCATTCTTGTTTTCTAAGTTCTTCCTCCTCCATTAACATAAACTCACTGCCTGCTAAGTTTCTATCTAAACTTTGCAATTGTTGTCAATTTGATCCCACATGGATAGATCTTACAAGAACACAATGTTTAAGGCAGAATTCGTTATTAGTTAAGCTAAACCATTGTTTTGTTTTTCTTTTAAATAGTATTTATTATTGGTGAACATTCCCACTTAACAATCACTGTACAGATGATTCAGAGACATCGGTTACGTTTTTCACAGTGTGTTAACATTCTCATTAACTGCATTCTGGATGCTTTGCTTCCAGTATTCTGCTCTCCCTGGTCCCTTACTCTGCCGTCTTTGCTGTAGAGTAATTGTTGACCATTTAGTCTCTGTAGAAGAATTTTTCTTTTTCGAAGAATATACACAACAAAACATACACCAGTTAAACAGTTTCCACAGGTACTATTTATTGACACTGATTACATATTTCGAGTTGTGCAATCATTCTTATCCTCCTCTTCTGAGTTTTCTTCTCCCATTAACATAAACTCACTTCCCCGTTAGGTTCCTAGGTAAGTTTTTGGGGTCTGTTGTCGATTTGTTCCCAAATAGATAGTTCTTAAAAGAGCACAGTGCTCAAGGCAGACCTTTTTTATTAGTTCAGCTAAACTATTGTTTGGTTTTAAGAAGACTTCAGGGAATATTTTTAGTTTAAGGTTTAACGATTACCTCAAAGCAGTAGTTTCAAGGGTTTATCCAGTCTTCGTGGTTCCAGTTAGTCTAAGGAGGATTTGAAATTCTGTTCCACATTGTTCTCCCTTTTGGTAAGGATTCTTATATAGAATCTTTGATCAAAGCATTCCGTAATGGTAGCTGGACACCATTCCCTTCTTCTCATCTAACATCAACAGTTGTTCATGGAGGCAATTAACCAAACATTCCATTTCCTCCTCCTGTTCCAGACTCTGCTTCATCTGTTGTTCCAGGAGTCAGAGTCCAATTGTTGTACCTTGGATGATGGCTTACAAGCTTTAAGACCCAAGGCATTATGCCGCAAACTAGGAGGTACAACAGAAGCACTAAACATGATAACCAGGCCAGTTAACTGGGATGACCCATGAATTCTTGATCCTTCACCTCCAGACCATGAAACCAAATCCTATGGGATGTGTGGTTGTAAATACGCAGCCTCAGCAACTACCATTGTCATTGTTGTTTTAAAAGTGTGTATCACATGACATTTGCCAATTCAGATTTTACAGATGCACACCTTGTTCACATCTATTACATTCATCTGCTGCACAAACAATATCAGCTTACTGTTTTAGAACTTGAAGATAAGTGTTCATAATAAGTGTGAGTTAACAACTTTTCCATTTGAGCAGGTTACTCCTCCAACATTAGTGCAAACGCAGGTGGAAGGCGGTGCCACACTCTTCAAGCTTGACTATTTTGGAGAAGAGGCATTTCTGACACAGTCGTCTCAGTTGTACCTGGAGACCTGCGTCCCAGCGCTTGGAGATGTGTTTTGCATTGCACAGTCGTACAGGGCAGAGCAATCCAGAACACGAAGGCACCTGGCAGAGTACGGAATTGTTTCTCTCTCTCTTTAAGAATGTATCTTTAAAAGGACCAGGTTAAAGGACAAATATTGTATTAGTTCGTTATTGTAAAAGTTAAGGAAAGGTTTATATATTGGAGGACATTTTCTTTGTTGGTTACCAGGGGTGGGAGGGGAGGGGAGGGAATGCTGTTAGATAGATAGAGATAAATATTGATTTGGGTGAAGAGAAGGGCAATGTACCAAATGTGAGTGACCAATATGGCAGCATTGAGGATGAGAAAGACATAGAGAGTTACATGGGCAGTACAGACAACAAATATGAACCCCTTTGCATGTACAGTACTGAGTTGTCAGTGAAAGCAAACATGGGTATAGGGACGGATAGATGGGTGAACAAGCTAAACAATTAGGTATGTCTAAATGGAGAGTGTATCCAAGAGCATATATAGGGTTGGCAGACAGTGGGCCTATAAGTGCATGTGAATGATCAGAATTCCCAGGTGTATAGTAGAGCTGACAAGGGGCAAGGTTATGGTCATTACTTGGTCACAGCCAGCTACCCAGAGGGACCGAGTAGTTGATCCTGCGGGCTTGGGACCATAGTCGCAGGGAACATCAAGCTCAATTGGCATAACATACTATACAAAACATTGTTCCACCTACTACTTTGGCAAGTAGCGACTGGGACCTTAAAAGCTAGGAAGCTGCCATCTAGATGCAACAACAGGTCTCTCCTCGTCAAGAAGAAAGAAGAAAGTCAAAATGAATGGAAACAATCAGTCCTAGCAACTGGTACACCATCCGATCTGCAACCTATACAACTATGAGACCAGAAGAACTAGATGGTGCCCAGCTACCACTGCCATCCACTTGGAAGGGATGTAGGAGATCCTGTATAAAGAGGGAGAACCATGTGGTACAAAACTCAAAATCATTTGGAGGCAAAAAAAAAAAAGAAGGTGGGGACCAGGTTTGCTGGTCCAATGGAGCCTGGTGTAACCACTGAGACTATAGCCCCTAGCTGCCCTTCAGGTCTGGAATTGAACCCACAACTGTGGTTTCCAGCCAAACAAAGTACAGGCATGTGAGTTAAACATTTACCTCAAGTAGACACACGCCCTGGAGAGAACAATCATGGGAGAAGGAAGGGCTGCTTATGCACAGGGAGATAGCTCAGGGTGCAGAAGAGTATGAAGGGACGGACACTGGGAGGAGGTAACTATGGGGAGGAAGTGGGAGGGGAGCTGCTGCATTGTAAATTTTGGTCAATGACATGAGACAAAGTATATGTGAACTGCTGTATGAAAAGTGAATTTACTCTGTAAATCTTCACCCAAATCCTAATTAAAAAAAAAAAAAAAAGACCAGGTTTGCTGGTCTGATAGAGCCTGATGGAACCACTGAGACTAGCACCTAGCTGTCCTTCAGGTCTGGAATTGAACCCACTCCTGTGGCTTCTGTTGTTGTTGTTGTTGTTATGTGCCGTTGAGTCGGACTCAACTCATAGCGACCCCTCCTTGGGTTTCCGAGGCAGTATCACTACGGAAGTAGGATTGCCCAACCTTCCTTCTGAGGAGTGGCTGGTGGGTTTGAACCTCCAACCTTCTGGTTAGCAGTCAAGTGCCTTAGCTACTATGCTACCAGAGCTAGCCAAACAAAAAACAGGTATATGAGCTGAACATTTACATTAGGTAGACGCAGTCCTTGGAGAGATCAATCATGGGAGAATAGAAGGGCTGTGTATGCACAGGGAGATAGCTCGGGGGAGGAGTGCATGGAGGAAAGGACACAGGGAAGAGGTAACTATGGGGAGGAAATGGGAGGAGAGCTGTTGCATTGTGGTAAATTGTAGTCAGTGTCATGAGACAAAGTGTATGTGAGCTACTGTACAGAAAGTGCATTTGCTCTGTAAAGTTTCACCCAAATCACAATTTAAATAAATAAATTAACATAAAATCTCCCCCCAAAAAAATAAAAGAAGAATATATCTTTATAGAAACTATCTTTATGTAAGTAAATGATATAGCCAAGTAAAAAAGTTTGGAATATGAAGGGCATTTGAATCCGTTAGTGGATAAACACATTCAGAAGGTGTGCCTTTTAGCCCTTAGCTAAGGTGGGTTCTTTCACTGTGCCTTGATCTTTTATGTGTTAGAAATAAACAGGAGGTCACTACTCAAGGGGGAAGAGGCCTGAGCTTAATTTGCACAGTTGGGTGTTGGTTAGCAATATCGGAACTTTACCTTTCTGGACAATTCATTAAATCCTTGCTCAAGAGAAGCTTTTTTTTTTTTTTTTAAGTGTTTGTTGTCGTTTGGGTGAAAGTCTATAGAGCAAATTCATTTTCCATATAGCAGCTCACATACACTTTGTCTCATGACATTGACTGCGATTTCCCACAATGCCCTGTGTCCTTCCCTCCTATGCACTCGGTCCCCTGAGCTGCCTCCCTGTGCATACACAGCCTTTCTGTTCTTCCATGATTGATCTCTCCAAAGAGTCTATCTACTTAATGTAAATGTTCACCCATGTGCCTGTCTTTTGTTTGGCTGGAAGCCACAGGAGTGGGCTCAATTCCAGACCTGAAGGGGAGGTAGAGGTCACAGTCTCAGAGGTTCCACCAGGCTCTATCAGACCAGCAAACCTGGTCCCCTTTTTTTTTCCCAAGTGATTTTGAGTTTTGTTCCACATTGTTCTCCCATTCTATCCAGAATCTCCTACATAGATCCCCTCCAGGTGGTTAACAGTGGTAGCTGATGCCATCTAGTTCTTCTGGCCTCGTAGTTATATAAGCTACAGATTGCATGTTGTACCAGTCACTTGGACTAATTGTTTCCATGCATCTTTGGTTTTCTTCATTCTTCTTTGCTCTGGATGAGAGACCTATTGTTGCATCTAGATGGCCACTTGCAAGCTTTTAAGATCCCAGTCACTACTCACCAAAGTAGGATGTGGAACAATGTTTTGTGTAGTATGTTATGCCAATTGAGCTTGATGTCCCCTGTAACTATGGTCCCAAGCCCACAGGTCCAACTACTCATTCACTGTGGGTAGCTGGCTGTGGCCAAGAAGTGACTACAACCTTGTTTCTTGTCAGCTCTACTATTTACCTGGACATTCTTACAGAAAATACAAATATACTAGTAGAAACAATGTCTGCCAGCCCTATACATGATCATGGACACACTCCCCCCTGCATAGACATACCTAATCGTTCAGCCTGTTCACCCATCTATCCACCCGTAGATCCGTGTTTGCCTGAGAAAAGTGGAGTTTACAAGAATGGCTCTGACTAGGATCTCGCTCTTAGGTACACACACCTGGAAGCAGAGTGCCCTTTTCTGACCTTTGAGGAGCTCCTGGACCGATTGGAGGACTTGGTTTGTGACGTGGTGGACAGAGTCTTGAAATCCTCTGTAGCAAACATAGTGTATGACCTCAACCCGGTAGGTGGCATGTACGTGACTCAGACTTTGAAAAGGAAAATTTGTATCAGTCTTTGCCAGTGATTTCCTAGTATTTTAACTTAAGACGAGTTTCATATTTGTTTTCCATTTTTATGAATGTCTTCACTGTGTGGTAGTAGTCTGAGACAGTATTTTATAACAATAGTAAACTGTTTTCTAAGTGAAAATTTTTGTTAGTGGTTTCTTTTATGAGCTCTGTTTTTCTTTTCTACTAAAGAACTTCAAGCCCCCCAAACGGCCTTTTAAACGGATGAACTATTCAGATGCCATCGTGTGGCTAAAAGAACACAATATAAAGAAAGAAGATGGAACTTTCTATGAATTTGGAGAAGTATGTATTCCTTTCTGATCACTGTTTCAAAGTTGGCACTATGCTTTAGTGGGTTGGCGTTATTTTGTGTCATCAAGTTGATTGCAATCACAGTGATCCTACATGATGGAGTAGACAGAGTAGGAAACCTGTAGGGGTTTCCTAGGCTATAATCTTTACAGGAGCAGACTACTGTCTTTTTCTTATGGAATGGCTGCTAGGTTTGAACCACCAACCTTTCATTTAGCCTCCCAGTGCTTAACCATTATGCCACCAGGGCTCCTAAGTGAATTGATCCTTCTGAATAATAAATCACTAATGCAGGAGGCATCTCCTTGTCCTCCAGCGCTTTGGTCTGATTTGAAATGGTTCAGTCATGGCTGACGAAGCATACATGTTGCACAGCAGCCACATCTCTTATGCGTGGCATTTTTGACATGAGTAGGAAATAGGCAGCGGTGCCCTGCTCAAAGATGGAGGCCAATTGCTGCCGCTTTGAGTGTGTGTTGGCCGCCAGCTTTGAGCAGCACACCGCTGGCTGTTTTCTGCTTATGTCAAAATCCCAAGCGTAAGAGATTTGGTTGCTGTGCAACACGTATGCTCTTTTGGCTCTGACTGAACTCTTTTTGAGCCGGTTCAAAGCCCTATTCTCAAACTAATGATAATAACAGAATCTGCTTCTTGGGGTCTGAGGATTCAGTGGGTTACTAGATGGGGAGAGTAAACCACAGGTTGGTGCCTTTTCTGTAGCATCCAGTGAGTACGAGCAGTTTTACCTTTCCTCCAAACGTCATCTGGTGTCATTTGCCTCTTTCTCTTCTCCCATTCCTAATCTGTGACCTCAACTTAGAAGCTTTACCTCTAATTCTGCAGGTTGGTAGAGATGGTTTAGAATGCTGTGAACTCTTTGAAATTATTGCAAAATATAAGTTATGTCCAAATTTGTTTTGTCCTATATAAATTACTCTTATTATGTCATGACTTCAGCTCATGATAAATAATGACTGAATTTTGTACTGAAAGCTTAAATACTTTCAGTACTTGATACTTAGCAGAGTAGTGGGATGGAGTGAACACAGGCTTTGGAGTCAGAAGGCCCCCCAGGTGGGCTTAAATCCCATCTCTGTTCCTGCCAGCTGTGTCACTGAAGGCCAGTGACCCCAGCCTCTGGCTCCTTATCTCTGCCTTGGAGGGATCACCCACATTGCAAGGTTGTAAGGATGAAAGGAGCTAAATCCCTAGCAGGGTTCATGGCACAGGAAGCCCTTAGTGCATGTCGGCATTTACTCTACACGGAAGTGATCCCACACACCTGAGCGAGGAGCAGAGAAGATACATGGTCTTCAGAACCTTTCTCTGAAGGTCTTTCCCCTGATCACATCTTGGGCAGTATGTCAACATTGTAAAGCAGGTAACAGCTGAGAGACCAGAGCCTCTCATGCCCCATCTCCCATTGCCCCTCTGCACTGCCCGGGTCACAGGGCTCCAGGGACCAAAACGTGCCAACAGGTGGTTCCTGCTATATCATTTCACTTACACTCAACAAATCCATCTGTCTTGCCCAGTTCTCAATCAGGCTTGACTTGGGGCAAGAATTTTCAGTCTTAACTTGAATTTGTGTGGTTTAGTGAAGGATACTCTGAGAAACGGATTAATTTGATTGATCATCACCTAACATTTCAGGACTAACTATTCCAGGTGAGGTTACACTTGGAAATTTGAGATTGGTTGACCATCTCTCCTGACTCTGTCTTACTGCCATTGAAAGCGTAACTGATCTGTGATAACAGGAAAGAAGTGCAAGTAATAGGCAAGTGTGAAGATGGTGCAGTTGGTAACACCCTTGGGGTGTCAGTCAGTGCTGTTGCGAAGATTCAGTGAGTACTTTATTCCTTATGGGATGAAATGAGCCATTTTCCCTCCAGAGTTAGATAAGACTGGCTGCAGGAAAAAGAGCTGAGCAGTCTCTGGTGACAAAGACAATGGCTGAGCTTTTGGGGATGGGTTTTCATTTCTCAAGTGAATGGGGCTTCATTTATTGGCTGTATATTAATTTTTTAATGTTTCTTTTGAAAGAAATTGAATGTGTATGAGTAATGGCTGGGTGTGTGCCTATACTGTGTTGTATTAATAGGACAAAGGCCTATTTGTGTGTGGAGAGCTGCTTCTGTCTTGTTGCATTTGGAGTTGTAAATGGTAATGAAATCTTGTTTAACCTCAGGATATCCCAGAAGCTCCTGAGAGACTGATGACAGACACCATTAACGAGCCAATCCTGCTGTGTCGATTTCCTGTGGAGATCAAGTCTTTCTACATGCAGCGATGTCCTGAGGATGCCCGCCTTACTGAATCTGTCAGTCTGTGATACATTTAGCTTTTTAAGAGGGTGGGAACTGTCATTTAGAGCAAGATACAGCACATGGCAAATACTTGATTATAAGTCTGGAATTTGGAAGGAATGTGTTATTCTTTCTTGGTTGTGGGTAACATGATTTGCTAAATTATAGATGTTGACTAGTGCTCGACTCTCCAGTAATCACAGTGCTTCCTTTAGCTCTGGGAGCTTAATTGTAGTCATGAAGTTGTAGAGCAGTGCTGTGTCAGAGAGCCTGGTAGCATTGTGCAGTTTCTTTTTACTTTTATTTGAAGGTTGATGTGTTGATGCCGAATGTTGGTGAGATTGTGGGAGGCTCCATGCGTACCTGGGATAGTGAGGAGTTATTGGCAGGCTACAGAAGAGAAGGGATCGACCCCGCTGCCTATTACTGGTATACGGATCAGGTAAAAACAGACTGCAACACTATATACCTTTTCACTATAATCATTCTATGCAAATTAAAACTTATAAAGGAGAATTCAGGGTACTTTGGTATTTGAGTGGGCTGTATTCAGTTTTGCCTTTGGCCACATTATATGTTAAATTCATTTGAGAACCTGTTCACCTGCTGAATTGCTCATTGCTTCTGAGTTTCAAAAAAATGCTATTCCAAGTCATTTGATCCTATCACTCTCTAGTGCTCTCTAGTATCAAAGAGCACGAGTATCTCTAGTACTATTGTCTAGTGCTCTATATCAGAGTTTCCTCTGATACTTCCAAGGTGGTACTTAATTCATGGTTCATTTTTCCTATCAAGTTATTCTGTCACACGTGGTCCACAATGGTTCATAGATTAAGGGTTGAGTGGTGAACCAGGATGAGCTAACTCCTTCCACAGTAGAAAATTTTAACTATTTTGATGAAATTTTCAAGTGGCATTTGCTTCCCTTACTCTCTCTCCTTTCAACAGAGAAAATACGGTACCTGTCCTCATGGAGGATACGGCTTGGGCTTGGAACGATTCTTAACTTGGATTCTGAATCGGTATCACATCCGCGATGTGTGCCTGTACCCTCGATTTGTCCAGCGCTGCAAGCCCTGACCTGCTTCTCCCGAGGCTCGAAGGAAGAACACGGTCCATGAAAGAACAGACTGCCTCCTTTTTTTTTTTTTTAACTTTAGACTGCCTCCTTTTTAAAAAAGCGGAAATCTTCCCTTTTTTGTTCCGTTGGGATACAACTGTCTATCTACATTTTGCTTTCTGTTTATTATTTCTACTGTCATAAAGAGTAGTTTAAATTAATTGAATATCAAGTGACATTGATATTGTCATTTTAAAAATCAAAAATCCATGACAAAATTTTGGGTGAAATATGTGGCATGTAACTGTAATTATGGATGTATTTCAGCATTTTGATAATCCAATTATAGATTGTCAGCTTTGTGTCATATATTTAAACAGTTTTTAATTATGTTCTAAGACATTCCAGTGACTTTATTTTTCTGTCCTTTTAAGTGTAACTGGAGTTCCCTCACTGACATATTTTATTCTGTTAGTGAGTTAGAACAAACCTCGTGGGGAAAAATTGACAATATGGCATAAAAGTCGCTAGTTTCGGAACAGTATGTAATTCAGCAATAGTTACTGGGATCAAATGAATAGTGATTTACATCAGCTATTAATTAGTCTTTCTAAATCTGTCTTGCTACTTATCATCCCGAGGCATATGAATGGATATGGGAGAAATTATAAAAATAGAAATGTCTTAAAGAATTTGATGTAAGATCATAATTGTTGAAGTAAATAATGAAGTAAGATCATATA